TGGTTCTCCGCGGCTGTGATGAAACTGACGCCTTTACACTGCCTATGGACCGAGAAATTGAAGTGTAAGGAATTGGGAGATTGAATTTGGAATTGAAAGGCAGGTGAATGGAAAGGCCAGCCATTGGAGGTGAAATTTGAAAAAAATTATAGTAAGAAGTGAAAGTTCATTGAGGAAAAGAGAGAGAGAATGAGGGGATAAGGCTTTTGGATGGTTTTTGCTTCTTTTTTTTTTTCTTTTTTGTAAGAGCAAGAGAAATAGGGGTTTAACATGGAGGGAAATGACGTTACAGCCCGACTACTTCGGGTCAAAGTTTACATTCAATTTTTTTATTTTGGGGGTTAAAATATCTAAATATGCTATATTAAGAACATATTTACACCATTTATGGCAATATAATTTTTCTAATTAAATATAGTAATTTTTTAGAATTGAAAATTATATTGTGTGTTCGCAATAAATTTTAAACATATGGAAAATAAATCAACCATATATAAAATCTGAAGAAAAAAGAATATTTTATTGATAAATCAATGTGGGTATAATTCTGTTGATTCTTGATTCTTCTCTCATAAGATATTTATTCATAATTCGAGGGTTGTTTGTGGCGTATTTCTCGACCTAGGATGATTTAGACTTGATCTACATAATTTGAGGATCGTTAGTGGCGTATTTTTCAAACTAGGATGATTTGGACTTGATCTACATAATTCGAGGGCCGTTAGTGGCGTATTTCTCGAATTAAAATGATTTGAATTTGATCTATTTATGAATATTCCATGACTTTGTGGAATATTCGAGATCTTGATCTTTAAAAATACCTTAGAGTTTATGGGATTTTTTCAAATGTCTTTTAAGGGAATTTTGTACCCTTTATATAGGAGTAAACTAGGGTTTAGGGTTGAGTAGCCTACAAAAATCCTAATATGAATTGAACACACATTGTAGAGCCCCAACTCGAATTGAACGCATCTTGTAGGGTCCCACAAAATTTCAATGTCTACACCGTGATCTCAAAAGGTTCGTTTTTATCTTTATATGTCACCTCTTTCCCTTTTTATCTATCATTTTTTTCTCAAAACTCGTGATTTTTTTCTTCCTCATCTTCTTCTTTTTATTCTTCTTCTTCTTTGAAATTTTCATCAAAGAACTATCCTCAAAACAATTTTTGCCTATATTTCGCGATTTTCACCTAAAGCACGACGAGAAAAGGAACAAAAAGACCATTATGTTTTGGCACCAGCTATCCTCGAAAAACAACCATATTGTCAACATTGATATCTCCTCCATGACTGCCGACAACTGGCATACAACTTGAAAGTCATTAAGCCACAAACACTTTAATCAATGGTTGCCCTGGAAAATCCTTATTCCTTTCGGCCTCTGAAACATTTGAATCAATAGAAATGACAATGTTTTCAATAAAAACAAATATCATACTCAAGCAAACTATGTCATCGTAATGGCCACTGAGTACCATATGTTAGTCAGAAATCGGAAAGTCAGGAATCGAAGAAGACAAACATCCAAGTCAAATAAAAATCCCCTAAATCAAGGTTCCTTCAAACTGAACACAGATGGATATGTTGGTACAACTCAAAGGCATGGGGGTCATAGGGGGATTAATAAGAGACCATAAGGGAGATTATTAGCTATGGTGATTCAACAAAAAAGTAGCTCTCACACAAACACGACTCAAATAAAATTGCATGCGTAGCATAAAAAGGTAGCCCCTTTAGAGATTAATATTGACTTCACCGTCATTATTTAACCTTATTCTAACCTCATTGTTGAATGCAAATTACTGATGAAATAGCTAAGGAGTCAGAGACCAATACATATGTACAAGGAACATAACAAGGTAACAAATGTGTCAGCTAAAGAAGCTGCAAAAGAAGGACAACTTGATGCTCCTTCCTTTTTGGAAGTTCCATCGATGTGTGCTATCGAAGCACTACATGTAGCATCGACAATACTTCGTTCACTAGGAGCATCACTTTTTGTAATTTTATCAATAATGGTCATACCACAGCCCAACATTCTAATATGGGGAATGCCCCTTCTAATTATGTTTCAGTGAAAATTTCAATTCAATTTAAGTAGAAAATTCTCTTTCTTCCTCCGTTCATACGTATTTCATATATTCCAGATATGGAGTTGGGTAAAATTTCATGTGATTCGGTAAAGTCGTGTTTTAACCAAAGAAAAAAAAAGAAACTTATTAAGAGTTGAATTAAAGAGGTGTCAATTATGGATAAATACTCAATGTAAATATTGGATTATGAAGAGTCTTTGTTGTGAATGTTCGTTCATTAATAAAATATTTATTTGTAATAAATTAAGCAATTTTTTTTAATAATTAATTTAAATATAAAGAAAGACCAAATAAAGGAAAAAAAGATAGATGCAACTGGAGTCTTATAGAGATGTGTCATATTACCTTCTCTATGTAACTCTATATATATAGTGGCGGATCTAGGATTTTAAGGTTGTGGGTGTTCTCTTAGCTTAGTAGTGACGGAGTCAAAATTTTCACTAAGGGAATTCAAAATATAAAAAGATAAATACACAAGAAGTCAAAGAGTGTCCAACATTTACTATACATACACAAAATATAATTTTAACTATGTATAAATGGTGTATTTTTCGCCGTTGAGGATTCAAATGAACTCCTTGTGCCTACCTAGACCCACCCTCACTTAGCTACTATTCACAAAAATATAAGTGCACAAATTTAACTCTTGTCACAAAAGAGCGATCATATTGGAAATCAATAGCAAAAACAACCAATAAGAATAACTACTCACTCTGTTCCTTTTCACTTGTCATATAGTCTCCTTTTTCTAGAGTAAAAAAATATCAATTTTAAACAACATTCTAAGATATATATTTTTATCATATTGATATAAGAGAAATTACAACTTATAGTAGCCGCTCCTCTTCTTCCAAGGCATTGAATAAATGAAGAGAGTGACCCTAGAAGAGGAGGCAATCTTTGACATTTTACTTATACTTTACTCTCAACTTTGAGAATTTCAACTTTTAGTATAGTTTTTGAATATCAAAATTTTAATTTTAAAATATTGAACTATTTTAATCTAATTTAGCTTTGAAAATTATAAATGAACTTTTGCAAAGTAAAACAAGACAGTTATTTAGGATTGAATGGACTAGGGAGTAGGACTTATTATCTTGAATAAATAAGAAAGGAAAATATTTTTTTGTATACCCTCTTTAGGAAAAGTTGCAAAAGGGCTATTACAAATGGGTTTGAAAATTAAAAAGAAAACATGATGAGAGTCAAATTCGAACACAAGCCCAATAGGCTAGAACAATCTTAAGCACCCATTATGAGCCGTTGGACCAATAAATCATTTGTTTACTGGATGCTCTACGTTAGATATATATCAATGCTTCTCAATTTCTATAGAGATATATATAATCTGCTACTAGGTTAATGGGTGCTAGAGCACCCGGAGAACAATATGTGGGTCCGCATATATATATATATATATATATATATAGTCAAATTGACTTTTGAAAAACACAACATGACAATTAAAAGTAAACAGAGGGAGTATTGTATATCATGTTTTTAAATATTTTTTATAAAAAAAATGAAAGTTTTAGATATTGTCATATACTGAAAGTATTTTATTTTATATCGAATTATATTTAAATTAAAGATTTATAATATAAAATTTTGGGGTATATTTTTGTAATATCACTTAATTAATTATACTTCAATGAGATTTTATCTATATCTAAACCTAGGGCTGTGTATTGGTTGATTCAAATTGATTTTGAAGTTTATCGGTTCGACTTATCAGTTACCAATTTGTAGACATGTTAAACCGTTATGATACCATTAAGATATTGACTTATCAATTAGTGGTTTATCAGTTATTGATCGTTATAGGTTTGGTTATTGATTAAACCGTTAAGATTTGACACAAAAATAATCATTGAAAATTACTTAGAAATAAGGTGACAAACTAAATGAATCATGCACATGAGTTGACAGATTGCATCTGACTCAAAAGCAAACACTTCACATTGTAAAATAACCAAGAGTTTGAGAGAGCCACAAATAAAAGTATGAAGTTAAACTCTAAGTTAAGAACTTTATCTACCAAATGATATAAATATAATTATGGGAAAATTACGTGGTTAAACAAACTTATACTACTTAATTAGTCATGCCATTTTGCTATAATTACCACTCACGAATAACATAAACCATTAATTATGTGGGCTGACTTCAAATTTGTAAATTAGCCATGTTTGTATAATTCACCACATTTGTATAATTCGCAACTAACAATTCTTCGTTACTAAAAAAGAGCTTTTTTAGTTACTTTCTAAATCTAAATAATAGTTAATAAATCTATTGTTAGAAATAATTCAAAATTAATATTATTTGATAAAATAATCCTTAATTAGATACAACTTACAAATTTAAGAAAAAAATTAAAAATTTAGCAGCCAATCAGAATTTTAATTTATTTGACTTTGACTTTTTCTTTTTTAAATTAAAATTTAAAATAAAACTTAATTTTCTTAAAATTTAATTTAAGTTAATAAACAACCCTCGATTTTTTTATAAAACAATTTAAAGCAAAAAATGCTCCATATAGAATTCCTTTTTAAAAAACTTGTTTGATTGTACTCCTTATTTTACATGTCTCGTTGTTGCTGTCCTCGCTCAAAGCATAAAAATAATATAATTTTAAGTTGAATTTTTTCTTTTCTCTTTTTTTTTTTTCTTGTGTCGATCACGTTATATTAAACTTAATATACACATTAAAACTAAATATTATGTAGTTTGACTTTTTTTTTTTACCATCCATTAGTCAATTTTTTGTAAGCAATTCTTGGACCCACTTCATAAAATTTATGTTTCGCCACTGCTTGGAACACAGTGAATACACCATAAAACCTCAGCTTTCGTCATCTACCAAAACCCATATGATTTCTCAACTGGCATTAAGGTTTAAAAAGTTCCTTTGTTCTTTGGGTCCGAGTTTGGTCGCACTAGCGGCGGTTACTGTGCGAAATTTTGCTGATTGTCTTAAGTTTCCGTTCACAACTCCATCAGTCCATTAGCTTTGAATTTCAAATCCATAGACACTGAGGTTCATTCCTTCTCCTTATTTTCAGAAATTTATTTCTCATATGCTTAGTGTTCATTTGTTGAGCTCAAATTGAATCTTCAATGAACTTGAAAGCAGAATGATAAATCAAAAGAAATTTGTATTATGCTTATTGCATAAACTCTGTCCATGTCTATGATGAGAATGATGTATGAAGGGAAAAAAAGAGGATTTACCTTATGAACTTCCTTTTTTGCATGATTCAGGTTCATTCTAATTGGGTTCTTTTGTCTGTCCTCTATCAGATTATACTTCATTCTTTCAGTATTATTTCACAGGTTGACAGCAACTACGGCAGGAGTTGTTAATAAGTTCTTTATTACATCTTTGATTATGTGGGCAACTCCAATTGCAATTTTGTATACCTTTAACACAACTTAATTCTTGTGTGAGCTTTCCCTAATTTTTCTTTTTCGGAAAAGCTTCCCTGAATTTTTCCGATACAAATTTTACTTGATAAAAGATTTTATCATATGTGCCATAAGTTGATAGCCATTCTAAAGTAGCTATTGTTTGGTTTTAGATAACTAATATGTTTTCTTCTAACTAATCATTATTCAAAAACCTTGGACTGTGCCTTTCTTTTCATTCTTATGCTTGAGAACTTTGCCCTTTTCTTTTTTGTGCTTTTACATTTGATAAGAGTGGTATTTCGTTCGTATTCACATCAATTTGTGGAACATGAGAAAAAGTGTGAGAGATTTGTGCCCATTAATTGCTCAAGTATGCACTGCCCTGCAGTCTTTGTTGCTTGAAATGATGTATAAAAAGGAACCAAAGTCCTTTCACAATTTTATCTGAGTTCCAGGGACAATTATTATATGTTGGTTTCACAATATGTTTTGTCGATTGAATTAATGGGATATTGGTGAGGGGGCTGTAGTAGTCATGTTTTATGCTGATTGTGTGATTATACTGACGCCGAGCTTTGCTTGAGAATGGGAGAGATTGGTCATGGTGAATAGAGAATTCTGAAGATAGTTCATCTTTTGTCAAATATCCAAATGAGAAAGAAGAAACCTTGTTTTGTTGGTGGGTGGTTGTAAGGTTTGGTAGAACACTCTCAAATGTGCCCCTTGCTTATATATTAAAATAGCACACCTGATATTTTTTCTTTAAGTTATTAATTGACCAAAACATGGATAGAGTAGAAGATGATGAAATATAGCAGGTACTTATGACGGATTTGTGTCTAGTTCGCTTCCTGTCACCGCCAAGTATAGCTGTGCTGAGCTTCTAGGATACATATCTGGGTGATTACCCAATCAAAGCTTGCTGATTCCTGCTCTATCTATTAATAGTTTTATATAACAAAGAATATCAATAAGTACAAGAATACTATACTTTGCATCAATCCATCCAAGGATGAACTGCCTGTAGATGCAGGGACTGAATTCATTATAATTTCTACATTTTCTTTATCTTTTTTTGTAGTTGGTAGTAAATTTATTCTATTATATCTGAGTTCTTACTCTGAAATCATCTTCTCTTTGGTCTTTGTGTTACTTTTGCAGCCAGCATTGATGAGTTTGATGACTGATGAGATACACCAAAGTCGAGAACTGATTCTCAATAATTTTTCCCCATATCTTTGAACCACATAACTACTTGAGCAAAAGCTGCAACAAATATTGAAAACCAGTGTGGTTTGAACTTTGGGTGGGTTGCTTATCTTTCTTTTTCCATGGCCAACCTGATTCGCGCAAATGTGGACAATGAAATGGTCAAAGCTGTTGCTGCAGTTGTCTTCAAGGGGCACTGGGACAATCTTTTGAAGCCTAAGATCGGTTCATTTGTGACTTCCACCACTATTAGCCAAGCTCTTCTTCATATATCGCAATATTATTTCTCCCTCTCATGGTCATTCTTTCAGTGGGCTGAATCAGTTCCCAATTACAAGCATTCATTGCAATCCTCTTGGACTATGATTTACATACTCACCAAACAAAAACACTTCAAAACTGCACAAGACATGCTTCAGAAGGTGGCGGTCAAAAACTTTTTATCATCACCGACAGTTCTGAATGCGCTTGTGAGATCTAATATGAATAATGATGTGAACTCACATCTTTTAAGTTGGTTGGTGATATTCTATGCTAATTCAAAACTACCCCATGATGCAATTCAAGTTTTTGAGCATATGAGGGTTTGTAAGCTTATGCCCCATACACATGCTTGTACTACCCTTCTGAATTCATTGGTCAAGGATGGGTTGACTGATACTTTGTGGAAAATTTACAAAAAGATGCAAAAAATAGGGGTCCTTCCGAATATCTATATCTATAACGTGCTTATGCATGCCTGTTGTAAGTCCAGTGATGTAGAGCGGGCTGATGATTTATTGAGAGAAATGGAGTTTAAAGCTACACTGCCTGACCTTTACACTTATAACACATTGATATCATTGTACTGCAAGAAAGGCATGCATTATGAAGCTTTGTGCGTGCAGGATAGGATGGAAAGAGCAGGAGTATGTCCTGATATTGTAACCTATAATTCCTTAATTTACAGTTACTGCAGGGAAGGGAGGATGAGGGAGGCTTTGAGACTTTTCAAGGAAATTAAAGGTTCTACCACTAACCTGGTTACTTACACCACATTGATAGATGGATATTGCAGAGCCAACAATGTTGCTGAAGCTTTAAGATTGAAAGCCGCAATGGAGGCAAAGGGTTTGTATCCTGGGGTTGTTACTTACAACTCAATTCTTCGGAAATTGTGTGAGCAAGGCCAGATGAAGGATGCAAATATACTATTAAATGAAATGAATGAGAAGAAAGTCATACCTGATAATGTGACTTGCAACACTTTGATTAATGGTTACTGCAAGATCGGGGATATGAAATCTGCTCTTAAGGTGAAAAATAAGATGTTGGAAGGTGGACTAAAACCTGACCGCTTCACTTACAATGCTATGATTCATGGATTTTGTAAAGTAAAGGATACAGATGGGGCCAAAGAAGTATTATTTGACATGGTTAGGGTTGGACTTTTTCCTAGCTACTGCTCATATTCGTGGCTTGTGGATGCTTACTGCCATCTGAATAATGAGGTAGCGGTTGTCTCATTGCCAGATGAGTTTGCAAGAGGAGGTCATCTTGTTGATGTTTCCTTTTATAGGGCAATTATAAGGAGGTTGTGCAGGAGAGGTAAAATTGATGGTGCTGAAAAAGTTTTCCACATTATGCAAACAAATGGAGTGCTTGGAGACAGTCTAATATATGCTACTCTTGCATATGCTTACTTTATGGTAGGGAAGGTTGATGCTGCGTCATATTTGTTAGACGACATGTACAAAAGAAGGCTAATGATAACCCTAAAAATGTACAAAAGTTTTAATGCTTCTTACTCTGATGAGAATACCCTTTTAGATATGTTTTGGAGTAATGTGGTGCAAAGAGGTCTGATTTCCAGAACTGTTTACGATGAAATCCAGTCATGCAATTCTTAGCTATCTGGCTTGTGCATTTCCAGGAATTGCAGATCATTGGTAAGTGCATCGACTTATTTTGAGTATTAGTCAAATGCTTTGTATCATGGAAATGAATACTCTTTGAATCTTTCTTGACATGGAATACAACCCAGGGCAGATTCGGGATTTAAACTTGATGGGTTCAACTTATATATTCTCACTGCTGGACCCATTGCACTTCTGAAATTATTGTTAAGAATTTAATAGTTATTAAAAAATTAATGATCATGTATATATCTAAGTTCCATGTTAAAATGTTGGGTTTAGCGGAACCCATATTGCATCTGCCTCTAAACATGGAAATCGGCATTACGAATGGAACTATTCTGCAGTTGGCATCTGTGTGATGTTAATCCCACTTGTGCGTGGTATTTTGTTGCTAATTGCTTGTTGTGTTTCTAACTGGGAGTAGAGTAGTAGAGTTTTGCTAAGAAACACATCTGGTTTTGCTAAGAAACCCGTCATTTGTACCAAACCAATAATAACATGTTCATTTGTTTCTGCACTGTCCAGTGGCAGCAGCTCTTTGGAATATGTTTATTTCAATTGCTGGTATCAACTGGATTGTCCGGCGAAGTGTCAAAGAAGTAGTTGGTTGGAGTCTTAGAGAAGTTGATAGCCCCATCAAGAAGACCTGGCAGATGATTCCATCATTTATTTTTTGGTGTATTTGGAAGGAAAGGAATCTCAGATGTTTTGATGGTATCTCAACTCCAATTAGCAGTTTGAAATCCTTTTGCCTTATTAACCTCTTCCTTGGAGCAACTTATCCCCTATAAATGATACATTACCCCTCTTAGATTTCATTAGTTCTCTCAATATGGCTTAGCGACCATTCTTTTGCTTGTGGTTAACTCCCTGATTAAATAGGTGTTTTTGTTCTCTGGAGTTAACCATATTTTTGTGTATGTATTTGCATCTCCTTGATGCCTTTCTAATACATCTTCCTTCATAAAAAAAAAACATGACACATGTCTTCTGCATACTCTTTTATTACCTAACTATGGTTAATTAATGTGCATTTTCATCTCATTTGTTACTTCACCATGGTAAAGTACATTGTTTGGTGTAAATATCGATGCGGGCAAGTTTTTACCCGAACAAACCAAAGAAGCACTCCAACAGAAAAGAAGAACAAGTAACACATTAGCAGATTGGAAAATACCTGCTCAACAACAGCACCGAATAATAAACAAGCCCTATATAAATTTGAGAAGAGATGAATGTGAAAACACAGAAGTCGTCAATCAGAATCTATGTACTGTACCAACTTATCTGAAAAAGAAAAAAAAGTACATCTATGGTGCCTATGAACAGTGTTGCTCTTAATTCTTAGTGATAGACTAATGTACACACTCTTAGGTTGTATAAATGCTTATCCTGGTTAGTGTTTGCTTTAACTCCTCTTTCTTACACTGTCCTATTGAAGGTACCCTGCTGACTTATACAAAAGAGCAAAGGTAGACTCTGTGTTGGATTGGCATCACTCAAACTTGCATCGGGGTACCGGTGCTTATATCAGATATTGAGATTATTTCAGTTTCCAGTTGAATTATGATTACTTTACCTTGACCTTACTTGAGAGTTAATTTAGTGGTGAATGCTGGGATTTGCGAGAACTTGGGCAGAAAGATGCCTACAGGCTACAGTTAAGGCAATGACTGAATATTTTTTTTATCCCAAATGAGATTAATCAAGGAAATTTGTTTGTATGATCAGTTTTAAAAAAAGAGCATCTGCTTTTCATGATGCTCTTTGCTAAGATACTCGCTACTAACCTAATGCAAGACAGTTGCTGCAAGCCTACAAGTTTCTCAGTCTATCTTTAGGACTTGATTCCTCTAATTGAAACACCTGACCTTTCTCAAACCTCTAATTGTGAGTCTAGCTACTGCATGATGGTGACTTTTTTTTTCTTCAACAATGACAGTAACTAAAACCACTAGGATAGGTAGTCTTTTCACCAATGTTCTCTAATTACTACTTGTCCTTGATAACTTGATATCCCGCTCTTTAGCTGTTTCCAACAGTTTTCTGAAGCAGTGCTTATGTTTTCAGCTGGATATATCTTTGATACTGTTCTCGCTCCTGCTTTTGGGTTGACTTTGAATCCACAAGCAGCAGCAGAAGCTGAGAAAGTCCTTTTGGCATCTCTTGCAAATATCTAGTCTGTTTGGCTCCAGAGAAAAGGACGGTTTTTGCTTGGGAGTGGCCAACCTTCAATTGCAGATCTTAGCTTAGTGTGTGAGATTATGGAACTTGAGGTAAGGAGATTTTCCCTTTTCCTGCTGTTTCTTTACATCTTTTGATCCAGAACATAAATTATCACGAGGTAAAGAATGCTTTTATAAATAGATAATTTTAATAAACTATTGTCTCAAAAGTCGAAACAAGCTTGTCTATCTTCATGTCACTTTCCTCTGGAGGGAAATGATGCATACATGTGAAACCATGCCTTAATTGTTTTTGCTCAAAGTGTAGTCCATTGACATTCAGAATTGTGTTAACTGTTGCTTTCCCCTCCATCATCCTATATGAGCTTCCACTAAAATTAAATATTAATGCACATGGTGGTATGAGTCCCTATTCTAAAAGCCTTAAGAGATAAAAATATTTTTATTTCTCTTCTCTATGCTGGGTTAAAGGTTCATAAAACTGGTCGTGACCACCAATTGTTCCCTCCGCCCTCATCCTTGCCTTGGTTCTCTATTTGTTCTCCCTGCTTCTTCTATGGGTAGTTTCCGGCAGCCAATCTTTTTGGTTGGAAAGTTTAAATCCTTTTATATAATGAAGTTCCATATGACCCTTCGGGGTGGCCTAGTGGTTTGGGCTTGGGACTTCCATGTTGGAGGTCTCAAGTTCGAAACCCCTTGCCAGCGAAAGTAAGGGGTTTGCCTTCTGGGTCGAGCTCGTCGCACTGGGCTTGCCTAGTGCGGGTTACCTCTCCTATGTGGTTTGCGAGCTATTGCATATGAGCGGGGGTTTTACCCTGTGCGCACCCAAAGGATAGCGGCTGCGGGTTTCCCTTGTCATCAAAAAAATATAATGAAGTTCCATATGAATGCTTTGGTATTGTCTTTACTAGTATAGATGATGATGAAATGATGATTTTCGACTTCCTCTTGAGTTTACTTGGAGAAATATACTTGTTTCTGAGGTCTTGTTGAAATTTCTTTTATGATGAATTTGGGTTTTGGATGTGATGAATTTAGATTTTAGATGAGAAGGATTGTGAGTGGATAATAGGCCCATACAATTATCTTTTACTTTTTTTAGCAGATGTTTTTTCCACTTATCATTATAAGTGGTAATGCACATAATGCTAAGATACGTCAGATTGTTATATGTTCATAATCTTTGAAGTTATTTTGCTGGAAACTGATTTACTCTTATGTATGTAAATATCTTAACTAACCGATTTACTTTTTCACTTCCTAATGATGTTATGATGATTATTAGATTCCAACAGCCACAACCTAATATCTGAGTCCATCAAGGCTTATCATTTTGCATTGTCCGCATGTTAGACTCGAAAGCATGAGTCTTTTTACGTTTGGGAACTTCTTCCCAAACAGTGTATAGATAATCAAGTAGAAACACCATTCATTACGTGACAAGAAGGGAACTTTTACTGGACGTGAAATTCGACTATACATCTCAATTGAGTCAAGAAGGAAAAATTCACAGAACATGAAAGTTGAACTTCATTATATAATTTTCAGTTTTAGATTGTTAATGTGGAGGCTAGCCGAGACTATAATATTACCATTAGAGCAATCACACCACCTTAACCCATATGAATTCATTAACCTTCACGAGTACGGTCAATTGAAAAACGTTAGTTCTTATTCCTATGCAGAAGGCTTGATTGTCTACCAAGTGATTAATAACCATTGGCCCAGCTTTGTTGTGTTTAAACCATGTAAATGAAGGGGCAATAAAGCTAGAGAAGGATATACCATTATAAAGCGAGTTGTACCATAATACAAATAAAATGGGCGGTGAACTAGTCGGACAAAAGTCACATTGCCAAAACAATGTGAATGTAAAGTGTAATAAGGGGGGTGGGCGGGTAACTGGAAGTACAGGGGCAGCAAATTGACACAGTAAACATGAGATAACATTTTTTTTTGTACATTAAGCATCAGTTCCACAATCATTATTCATTGCCTGATGGATCTTGCAGAGCATTCTTGGATGGATGAAGGGTCTCAGTGGTTCTTGGTTTCCCCGCAGGCATTCAATCCAAAATTTTGACATGTGAGTGTGTGCCCATTCGAGGGGGACCGGAGTTAGTTTAATTACTGAAGCAAAAAAGAAAGACAATATTAGTTGTGGCCAACAACGAAGAAGTAGAATGTATAATCTATACTTTACCAGGGCAACCAATTGGAGGGTTTAGGTGTGTAGGACGGACTCTATTTCTTTTCTGCACTGGTGTATTCTTGCGTGTTTAAGTATAAGGTGTATTATCAAAGTAGTAAGTTGCAGGAAAACACAATTAGTGTCCCACACAAGTTGAAGTTTGCATAAAGTAGCACAAGCGAGCATGGTAAGCACTGAAAGATTGAATGTTAAAAAATGTAGCAGCAACAACGGAGAACTAATGCATGGATTCAGTAGCTGTTGAAGTACCAAGTGTCACCAAATTTTGGAATAGAGAAAGGGCAAAGAGATATTTGCAGTAAAATTGGATAAGTGGCAAGCCATAAGAAAGAATAGTAAGCTTGTAAAAAAAGGCAAAGGAGGCAATCTTGACACATGAGAACTTAAACAAGAGGAAGCCCAATCTACGTTCTAGTTGCTATCTATGTGAAGAATAGGTGGAGACAGTCAACCATCTCTTTTTACACTGCAAATGGACAGATCAATTGTGGCAGATGTTCATCCAAAAGAGGAAGATCAAGTGGACAAAGCCTGGGAGAACTATAGAAGTCCTACAATGTTCACTTATCTTATTAAAAAAAAAAAAAGAAGTCCTACAATGTTGGAACAGGGATGGAAATGCAGGAAAACAAGAGAAGAGATGGAGGGTTGTCCCAGCTTGCATTTGGTGGACAATTTGGAAGGAAAGGAATCAAAGATGTGTTGAAGGAAAACAGAACAACATCCAGAAGATAAAGACAAATTGCCTAGGGCTTTACTATTTTTGGTAAGCAAGTAGTAATAGGAGATGCTGAAAATGTGTTTAATATTATTGACTGGCTGTAACTAGAAGATCTTAGGAATGATGCAAGTAAAACTTTTTGGAGGGGGACTACACTTTGATGTAGTATACTTGTGGATATATAGAAGTAAATGTTACCTTTCTCAAAAATAAAAAGGGGATGTAAGTAAGAACAACAAAGGGAGGTATCATATTGCAGAATTACATAAAGCAGACTTAGCGTGTGAATAAGGTTGTGGCAGCCAATAAAGGGTGAAATTAGCCATATGAGGAGTCCAATTTTTTTTTTTTTGATGATGGGAAGTGTGAGAAGGTTCCCAAGGCTTACAGGGGCAGGAGTATAGCAACGTGAAAGCAGCATACCTGGATGATCTGGTGTGAGTGTGGAATTCGCAGTGCTAAACATAAAAGTCTGGATTGAAGTAGTGTAATGTTTAATAAACGAAGTCATTATTGGGACCGTGCTGGGGAAAAGGGAGAATGGATAGTAGGTTGAATAAGTATCATACCTGAATAGTGACGTATTTGGTGCGGTGTCGAGCGCAACTTCGTAGGCAGCAGTGGAGAACTTCGGGATTTGATTGAGGTTGGTGAGCAGAAACAGGGAGAAGCAGTGAGAACATGAAGTAGTTTAGAGAATCAGAATAGTCTGTGGTTCAATTCTTAAGATGGTGGCGTCCGTTGTAAACAGAGACAACGTTTTTGAAGAGCTGCAATAAGTTTAAAAGGAAGGAAGCGGGGAAGCGGCTGTTTAGGGACTGATGAGGTTGAAGCGACGTTTGATTGTGGCGTTTCTCTGGAGAATGGGAAGGGTAGTTGGTGAGAATATATAAATTTGACTAAAAAGGAATCCCTAGCTTGTGGTGGCGCCACTTCATCGGGTTGAGGGTTCTCTTTTATATAGATATAAGATTGTGAACAAAAAACGTCCTTTAACTATCCAAAATTTGCAATAAATATTTTGTTAACTTTTGTTAAAAAACTAACCGTTGAAATAAATACGTGTGCCAAGCACATGATTTCCTTCCAAATATCCATATTCGGTCTGATTCTAAGTTGCTTGGACTTTGGTGCGGGTGTTCGATAGGGGTGCGGATCTAGAGGTCGGATCCTTCATGATCTAATTTTTAAGATTCGGGGATATGGATCCATGTATGGATACGGGTGCGGGGATTCACCTTAATATAATTAAAATATCTAAAAATAGAGTTATAAAACCTAAATTATGAGATATTATATGGAGAACTTGGGGAGAATCTTGGAAGGAGATTAAAAGAAAATGAGTGAATAGAAATTTCTATATAAAAGATATTTCATCTTCTTCAATTTCACCTTAGCTTTTGTATTGATTATAGAAATCATTAAAACTGTCCAAACTTTCTCCATCGATTTTGGTCAAAGTACCCAAAATCGGTTGACCAAATCGGACATAGATCCCACACTCACACCCACACCCGTGTCGACAAGGGTGCGGCACCAAAAGTGAAGAGTCCGAGCAACTTAGGTCTGATTGAATATAAACAGGAAAAGAAATGCTTAAAAAATACAAAAAAGAACCTGGCATACCAGTAGAAAAACCCAGCAAAACAGCACCAAACCAGCAAAAAACTGCAATGCAGTAGAAAAAATCAGCAGAAAAATTGACAAACCACTAGAAAAACAACACCAAATTAACCAAAAAGCAGCCATACAACAAAAAAACTGGTAAACCAATCGTAGACAGCAAAAGGATCAACAACAAAAAAATTTAAAACTGGTAAATCAGTAGTAAATAGCAATAAAACAGTAATTTTTTTGGGCAAAACAGAAGAAAAACAGTAAAAAGAGATCTATACAATGAATTTAGACATATATGAGGAAAATTATACTTAGAGAGAAAAAAAAGGAAGCTAAAACACATATGAGCTCTGCGATCCCGTCAGCGTATAACCATTAGTTGGTCATATCCCGATGGAGGGAAAACTTTAAACTTGACACATAGGTATATGAGAAGAACAAAATTACAATAGAAATATGGAGATTTGGGGGGAATGTGCTTGACACATATTTATTTCAGCCGTTAGTTTCTTAACAAAAGTTAATAGAGGGATGTTTATTGCAAATTTTGGGATACTTAAAGGATGTTTTTTGTTCACAATTGTAGCGTAAGGATGTACCCTAAGTTTGGGTTATACTTCAGGGATAATTTTAGCCAAAACTCCACCTTATATATGCATAGTATGGTGAAAATAATTATTTATAGTTCTTTTATACTATTAATTAATGTATTAAACTTAATTGTCAAATGTAGAAATAAAAGTAAAACACGTTTTCAGATTTTTCATGCAAGGTCTGTCCAACAAATGCGCCACTGTTCAAATTTTCTCTTTATACATATGAAAGAGTAATTTTTTCTTAATGTTCTTTGCTTTTTACTCTATTCTTCAACTTGAAAAATAGTAGAATTATTAAATGGAAGAGGGCCAGTAACGGGGTTGTAGTAATTTTGATAAAAAAGCATGTCATTTACAGAAAAGGCTAGAGAAGCTTGGAGGTTTAACAGATGAAAAAACTCTCAAGGAATTAAAGTAAAGATGTTTCTTGATTGAAAAAGTTGTGATCTTAATTATGTATTTAACTTAATAGAGGCTATAAAGTAAGCCATTTATTTATCAACTAAGTAATCACTACTATAGGACTTTTTGTTGAGAAAAGAACAAGATAGTTGGTTTTACTTTTGAATGTTGTGTGCATTAGTTAATTAGGATTGAGAACTATTTGAGAACCTGCTATCATTTGAAAATTTCACCTTGGAATAAGGTTAAACGGGTAACTCCATGTGGACCATTTAAAAAAAGATACTGTAATAAATTTTTTGAAAGAAGACAACAGGAGTGGTGTTTTATTATACTAGTAATTTTGACTATTTCTAGCTTTGATTTTGGGAAAATGAAAAAAAGGCAGTCCACTGCACTGAGCTTTCTATTGTATGCAATCTTTACCTTGCATTTCTTAAGCAACATGTTTCCACAGCTCAAACCCATGACCTCCTAGTCACATGACAACAATTTTACCAATTAAGTCAATACTTCCCTTAAATATTTTTAAAAAATGTTCTGCAGATGGAATTGTTGAGGGAAAAAATGAAAGGACTGTCAAAGGGTATGTTAGATAGAAAGGGGAAATAATATGAGACAATACTTTCAAGCACAACAAACAGTTCAGTTGTCAGTTCAGCTGCAACTTCCAAGAGAATTGACCCTTTTACCTTTCTCTACAAGACAATAACCATCTCAGGTAAAGTCAGAACAGATAAAATGTTTTTATGCATATAATAATTGTACTTCTCTGTCTGTACCTCAATATTAATTCAAAAATGATGTACAACACTTACAATAGTGAACTTATTGTATTACTATTTCCGTTTCAATTTGTTTGTCTTGTTTTGACTTGATACTGAGTATAAGAAAATAAACAAGACTTTTGAATCCTGTGGTCTTAAATCAAAGATATGTCAAATGTTCCAAAATTCCCTTTAATCATTGGTCTTAAACATTCTATGCGAAAAATTGTAATTATAGAGTTTCCTAAAAAGGAAAAAGATATTCTTTTGAAGTGGACTAAAAGGGAAACTATGAAACAAATTGAAAAGGAGTGAGTATATCTTGTGGTGTATTGTAGTAAGATTTTGATACTACTAAGACCCTAGAGTTATTTCAAAATTTCTTTATAGAGTTTCCTAAAAAGGAAAAAGATATTCTTTTGAAGTGGACTAAAAGGGAAAGTAGAGGAAACAAATTGAAAAGGAGTGAGTATATCTTGTGGTGTATTGTAGTAAGATTTTGATACTACTAAGACCCTAGAATTATTTCAAAATTTGTTTAAAGTAAGTGGTGGACAAGTAGCTATATCAACATAAGATAAAATTACCAAACAAACAAATCATCAAAATACTAGTAGTCACTCAATTGATAGTAGTTATTATCTCAGAAAGTCACTTTCTTTATTGAGCAAAATTGAAATCAAGAAGACTGGTGAGATAATAACTATTATTGAGTGATCATATGAGAAATCAATCTTATAATAACTATTATTGAGTGATCATCTGAGAAATCAATCTTATATTTACTTGGAAATGTTATTTTGCTAATTGTAGTTGTTTGGAAATTTTATCTTATGCGGCAACTTGCTTGTAATGTCAGGGTCAGGTTGATATTTCTAATGACTTTCATTTTATGCTGAGTATAGGAATAGATGATGTGTTCTATCGTAGTTGTTGACCTTAGTTTTATGACTTTGTTGTAATAGACCTTTAGTTCGAAGATCATTTGTGAACTTAATCCTAAAAGAGAAAGCATTTTGCTAAACAGCTCAAGAATCATGCATTTGCAACATGGAGTACTTGTCTTCATCATATTATAGAGTTTTATTGCTAGTTTTGAACTGAAGAAACAGTTTTTGCACTCTTGTTTCATTTGAACAGGACGTGATGCCACTTGAGGAGAACAAATGCTCAGGGCATTGCAAGGCTATAGTGCGAAGGATAGTAGAACAAGAGCTGAAACTGAGCAATGGTCACAAATGCAGGAAATGCTGCAGCAAGTGAGAGGGGAGAAGGAAGAACTTCAGGCTTCTCGTGATTTCTGGGAAAAACCAGCCCTTGACTTTGCTCGTGAAATCCAATCTTTACAGTCCTCTTTAAGAATCTGGTTCTTGGTTTCCAATGATACGTTTGATGAAATAAGTTTTGATTTGAAACAGTTCACTATATTATTTCTTCAAAAGTATCTCATTTACTTTTCACTTGATCCAAGGCTCTTTCGGAAACAATCTCTCTACCTCCACGAGGTACTGGTAAGTTTTGCATACACTCTATCCTCCCCAGACATCACTTTGTGGGATTGTGGGATTTCACTCGATATTTTGTTTTTGTTATCTCATTTTCTTTGCTTTTATAGGTGGAAGAATGGAAAGGCAAATCACAAGCATTTGAAACCAAGGCAAAGGATATGCAGTGTGAATTAACTGCAGCAAAAGACAAGCTGGAAAAATCAAGGACAGAGAAATCTACGGCACATGATCAGAGAGAGGTAACATCTACCCCGAATTCACCTTTGTTGTCATTAGCCAAGCAAATTGAGAAGGAAAAACGTGTGTTGGTTTGTCGGTTGAAAAAATGCCATTCAGAAGTTGCAAAAACAAAGAGGTGTTGAAGTGATTTCAACAAAAGATTTGCCACCTGTTTCTCTTGGGAAGCAACTAGAAGGAAAAGTGCATGTTTATGCATTGTCTGAAGTAAAATCGCGGGGCCAATGACAGGAGTGGTAGATCAGAACTTTCTTCTGTTGGGATAAGAAAAGAACATTCTTGCAGCAAAAAATCAGGAGTACTAAAAGGCCACCATTTAGAGATGTTGGGAATTCATCACCATTATTGTTGAGGCAAAATAGTAAAGCTGTTTACCCTTTGCACAGCCCTTAAAGCTGAGTAAGCCAAATGTCTCTTTGTCTTGGAAGTTTTGTGATGTTATTTGTCTTCTTCAAGTGATTATTTGCTTAGTATTGATTGGTGCAAGCCTTTTGTAGAGCAAACAGTTTTGGTAGTAATAAGAGTATTTGCATTGCTAATTTTGCTACATTATTCGAAACTCGGTGAATGAGTGTGCCCTCTCTATCCTTCTCCAATTAAAGTTTAGGCTCTTGTTTGTAGTAGGATTTGACTTATCATGTGTGTTTGGCACACACATCTCATATTGCGCTCTTATAATTGAATCAAACCCTTGAGGGCATCCTTCCTTCAAGATCTCTAATGCAAGCTTAGTACAGAGAAACCATAAGAAGCATTTTGGTTTTATAACATAAGGTATTCATCTGCCTTGAGATAGTTGCATCATCTAAGAAAAAGCAAAAGAACATAAATAATTGTTCAGGTACAAAAATTGATGTCTCTTTTGCAACAAAAGGTGTGAAAAAAATGTGAAATTTCATTCAATACAAGAAATCAGGAAGGAATGTGCAGATTGTGTTTTATAATTTTGGTTTTTGGAGTATCCAAAGAAAAAAATATATAGGTGAAAAAGGAACTGATAATTGAAAAGATGGATGAAGTTGAGGGAACAAAACTCTCTATGTATGTATATATAAAGCATAAAAAATGTGGCATTCAAAGGGTGTATTTGGTATGAAGAAAAATATTTTTAATTTTTTCATGCTTGTATGTTCAAACAACTGTTGACAACATCCTTATAATATTTCACCTAAGAAGGAAAATTCTTTAGGTCTGTTTGGAAAGCCATCTCATTGGATTTAGTGTAATTACTAGGATAGTGCCTTGTAATTTTATAATATAAAAATCTATTTGTTCGGCATAGTGTAATTATAAATATACTGTTTGATTGTGCAATTACAACTCAAAGACTACTGTAGAAATGTATGTTATCCTTGTTTACATGTTTTAAGCTGCATATGATTAATCTCTAATATTGTCAATATTTGTAACACTTCTTTTGCTTAATTACATCTAATTTAGAATCTTGTACTACTGGCATACTTCTAAATATTTGTAAATTTTGCAATAATGCAAACTCGTTCATCATAATTAATTCAAGAAAACAAAAAAGAAGACATACTATTAGAAGAAGAGATGCAGGAAGACAAGTTATGAGAATGATCAACTCAATAACACTTACATTTAACACAATATCCATCTTATTTTCAAAGAAGGAATTACTCAACTAAAAGGACATTAAATAAATAACATTTCTAGTGGAAATTTAAACAAATTGAGAGTAGAATTTATTAAGCCTTGGAATCCATGACCATAATGGTGCTAAGGTTCATTGGGTGCATGTAATCAGTTGTTCCAGTCAAGATTTGTTCAACAATGATTCTGTTAGCCTTCTCCGTGGGGTGAAATGGATCCCAAAATGCATATTCATCTCTGTTTGAGCACAAGTTGGATAAAGGTGTGCACAACCCCATCCCATTGTATGGTCCTTGTCCACAACATGCCACCTTTGATGTCACAAATCCTGTCCCATATTCCATTTACCTTCAAAGTTAGTAAACCAACTATATATATAATGTAACCTATGTTGTTCGGACTATCCAAAAAGGATGCCATACCGTATCGGATCCTTCAAAAAGTGCACTACTTTTGAAGGAATCGACACATACCCTTTGACATTTTCGAAGGGTCCAAAGCAACATAGTATGTAACTAATGCATGTATATTAACATGTTGTACCAAATACTTGCCCTATTTTCTAGGTTACTATCCCTCTTATCATGGACAATTGTATTTATCTTTTAGGTAAAGCTTGATCATAGTGTAAAACTTCTAATATATACTACTAGTGTATAAAAGTTACATCCTATAATTTTTCATATATATAATACAACAAGATTAAAGAGAGTTGGTCAGATGGTAAACATCCTTCACCTCCCACCCTAAGATCGTGTGTTTGAATTATCAAAGGAGCAAAAAAGGTGAAAACTCTGATTAGGAGGTGGTAAAAATAATATAGTAAGATTTTCCTCCGGACCCTACCCTATGCTCTCATTAATTAAAGTAGTAGATATTAGAAAGGACTAAAAATGTTAGATATCATTTAAAGCCTAGGAAGAAGCCAACTTATATTGCTACAACCTATAGTACTCTCATCTAATTTTTCTTTTTTATATATATGCTAAGAATGACAAAAGTAAGTAGGTAATTAATAATTATGAGGGTTAAATTATGTACCAAAAGCTTGAGGATCAGTAATGAAGTCCAAATGCATTTGGTTTGTATTTGCTGCAACAAAAACATGGCTGCCTATTTCACTATTGAGACCATTAAGCATCTCAACTAGTTGTGGATTGAACAGTACTGCTGCTTGCTGCAAATCATCCGCGCAGCTGCCATCGCGGCTTCTTTGGGCTAATTCCGCGGGCACACAACCTAATGGCCCTGTTCCCGTCACAATAACTCTACGAGCTCCTAAGCTATAGAGTTTCTGCGTCATAAAATTAAGCTATCAGTATATATAATTTAAATTCATTGGTCAATTATTAGAGATTCATGTTGCTTTATGATAGATCTTCAAATTCAATAATGAAAAATGTTGTCTTTATGATGTGCTACACAAAATGACTTGAACTATAATGACATGTACAACTAAGAGCTGTACAATAATTAATCACATGCATGATTTATTTCCCCTCTAAAGTAGGTCTGCATTGGTTCAATATAGAACATACTTCATCGGCTTACTTTTACTTGTCCACTATTTAAAAAAAGTAGATTGTCATTTTTAACGTATTCATAACATTAATTACTTATTTCCCAAATTACTTTCTAAGACCTAATTAATATCAAACATTAATTAATATGAGTAATGTGGTAAAATAGTCCTGTCGTTATTGTTTCTTAATGGACATGTCAAGTCCAAATATGACAAGTAAAAGTGATCCGACACATGATAAAAAATGATATATATATGTATAATTGTTACCTGAAGAACATTTTTGTATTCAGAGATGACATAGGAGACATAATCTGGAAGCATATATTGACGAGATCTAACAGAAAAAGGGACTAAATAATAGTTGTTGACAAAATCATTGCCACCAAGTGTAATTAGAACAAGACCCTCTTTCACCAATTGCTTTGCCTTTTCACTTCCTATCAAAGCTCCAACTCTTTTTTGGTATTCTGCAAAGTACTCTAGTTGTTGTCCAATCCTTATAATATTTACCTGAAAAAAAAAAACTCTTCATATCATAAATCTATCTAGTGCACAAGAAAATCGAGAGTCAAATTTCTTAATTTTGATTATAAATTTGAAGAGAGAAGTACTGAAAATATTGAACTTGACACAAATTATTAGTTTCATCCCTTAATTATTTATAGCCTTAAAAACACCCCTCTATTTTACTAAATAAACTTAGATACACCTCCGATCTGCAACATGACATAAAAAGTAGTTTCAAACTCTCGTAGGAGCATGAGGCTCTTAATAAAAAGCCGAGAAAAGTTTGAAAACACCCCTAAACTTAATGAGAAATAGGGGTGTATTTCACTCATGTTGCAAGATTGGGGGTGTATTTAAGTTCAATTAGTCAAGTAAATGAGTGTTTTTAAGACTGTCAATAGTTTGGAGATGAAATTAATAATTCACGCATAGTTTAAGTGTATTTTTAATATTTCTCTTAATCTTAATTTTAAATTTCTTCGGACAAAATTTATGTATTTAAAAGCTGAGTAATATTTATGTGATATTATACTTGGTACTTATTTAAGTCTCAAAATTTGAATGATGCCACAAAATCAATTACTATTGCAAATTGAATAATGGAAATTGAAAATAGAAATAAAGCTTACAAATTGAATTCCAGTGTCATTAAGTACACCAACCCCAGCAGAAGCAAAGTTGGCACCAACAAGAAGCTTTTCCCCTTGAAGCTCAGGACTCAAGTATGGCAATGTAGGCTCTATTCCAAGTTTTTCACCTAATAATTACGTTAACAAGGACAAAACAAATTTTAATAAATAATTATATATAACAAGGTATAAAACAAAAAGACAAAATGGATAATCATAGCAATATTGCACCGAGTAAAGCTTTTGCAAGTGAGAGTGAAATTTCTCCCAAAAATACGTCTGGAATATCAATTTTTGAAATTTGAATTTTTTTTAAAGACAATTTTAAAATATGATAGATTTAAAAAATCTCTGTTCAAATGCTAGCTAATTCCACCTCTCCACTCCCCCCTTTTCTTTCTGCAATTAGTATAAAAATTAGTCATGACTATTGAAATTTGAAGTTTCGATCCCACAATGGAATTATTGTTTCTAGATCCCAAAATTGTCCCATGAAGGACCACGTGTGCCTGATACAGAATAATGCTGCATGCATGCACACAGCAGCACCAAATGTGAAAATAATGAGGAAGGAAGAAAATATTTTGAAGGTTGTAAGACTTCAACTCCTATTAAAGTAAATATAGAAACTAAAACAAAATGTAATCGGAAAAGGGATCAACTTTAATACCATATAAAATAATAGATCTTGGACCTAACTCACTCTCCAAATAAAGTAAAAATTGTCCAAGTCCATATGAACAAACCAATTATATATATCCATCCCTTTTTCCAACGTGGAACTTGTTTTGTTAACTTAATGATGTATATTTTGGAATGGAATGCAAACCACAAATTAAAGTAGAGAGAGGGTCATATAGTAAGTCTTTGTGTGTCCATATATGCCATCAAACTTATAATAATATCACTACTAAAAAAACCGGATTTAATAATAGAAGTAGCTAAACAACAAAATTCGTACGTAGCAACAAATTAGCGACATGTTCAGCAAAATAGTGACGAAAATGTGTATGAAAATAAAGAAGAGAGAAATAATATAATTAACTGATAATGTCAGGAATGTTAAGGCCATTAGAGAATCGTCCAGTTGGACGATGAGTTGGATAATCAATGCCATAAGGTGGTGAATCTGCACGAGCACTTGTAGCCAAATAGTTGTTATTTCCAGTATCAACTAATGAATCTCCAAACACAAAAAATGCTCTTTCAGCTGCACCCTCTACTACTCTTAATACCATAATCATCATCAAAATAATAATAT